GACGGAGACGGTTATAAGCTACTCCCACATGAATTGAGCGATCATCCGTCGGCCAGACAAGCACATGATCAAGGAACTCACCAGATGCTTTCAATTCCACAAGAGCCTTCGCACAGCCAAGCCTACCTCCCAGCCTCGTTGTGTGATCAACACCCAGCGGAACCCTAAGCCAGCTGCCCATACGACTGAGCCCCTAAAAGTTCACATACTCAAGTGGCACATTTGTGAACCGAATCCAGATAGGAAGAGCTTTATTACCCAGATCTTCAACATCAATGCTTGGGGTCCAATGTCGGAGATACAACAAATTATCAAAATAGAACCAGGGCCCACTCTCCAGGATCCAATCGCAAGTTGCTTGCGTTGGGAGCTGAATCAGAATCAACTGTTTCCGAGCAAGGATACCCGAACTATGTCGTCCCGTCCCCACAACTTATTCGCCCATCGGCGCAGCTCCGGGAGAGGTGGAGAAGGATGGAGAAACTGACCGACAAGACTATGCTTCCAACGAGCAGCTCCTTCATCGCAAACGATCTTCGGCATCCGAATACCCCCCTTGAACACATCCAGCGGGATATACGCGAGCCGATTTGCCTTAAGAGATGCCAAAAAACTCTGCCCAGGGTTTAACAGAGATACCCTTAGCACCAGAAGCCTCCGATCCTTGAATCTCCATACCCGATTGTAGTAGAACGGCAGAAAATGGAAGCAATTCGCACAAGCAAATTTTTTGAACCCCAACTCTCATAAAACAAATCACAACTCTCATGTTGCACACCACAAATAAGCAAACCACAAGTCCATAAAGTACATCACAAGTTTATTAAAGTTGATCGCAAGTCTAATAAAACAGGCCACAAGTTTATAAATTATCATCTATATTTCCACCAAAATAAAGTATCATCTATATCAATACAATTCCATAATGCAATTACAAATAATAAATACTAAATTACTAAGCAATTCAAAATAAAATTCTAATACGGATGCTCCGACACTATCATTAACCCTGTCGTTATCGGAAACTTACTTTGAAATATAAGTAAAAAGAAACAGACTTTTACGTTAACGCCATTTAATGTTGACGAGCTTGAAACATTCCCAGCAGCAAAAGTGAGAATTCCAAATGCTCGCCATATTTTGATTTTTGACTACAAATATCCGGCTCAAATTAATCTCATCTCAATTCTTATGACAATCTTCCACAGAGAAAATTACGTTGAAAAGGTCAAAAAGTCAACAATGAGAGCACAAATCACTCTCGCCGTCGTCTCCATCCTCGCCGCGTTTTCGGCAGCCGGAGCAACGACCGGGTGGCAACCGGTAAACGACCTGACGAGCGGCGGGAGCGTGAGGGAGGTGGCGGACTTTGCGGTGGCCACCCACAACCACTGGGTCCCGCTCCATCAGCTGAAGCTGGTGCAGGTCGACACGGCGGAGCTCAAGGTGGTGGTCCCCAACGTGAATGCGGCTTACAAGTTGGTGCTGACGACGGTCGACGGCGTCGTTGGTGGAGTCGGGACGCAGCAGTTCAAGGCGACGGTTGGGGTTGTGACCTTGAGCTCCGGCCAGAACGTCAAGACGCTGCTATCGTTTCTTCCTAAATTGATTTAGCCATTTAGAGGAAGATTAATTAATATGGTAGGAGTCTAGTTAACTTTATTGTCTATTAGCACACATTATTGCGTTTCTTTTTAGTTAGTCTGCGTTTTTAAAATCTTTTTTTCTTTTCCGCCCGGTTATTTAATGGTTAATACTTTATATTTATTAAGTACAAAATCATTCATTACATAAGATTAGCCTAACACCATTTTACTTGGGTGGTAAATGGTTAGTAACAGATAACCGAATCAATAAAGATGGTTAGTGGTTAGTCGATAATCGATAATTTTCTGTTGGTTTGGTTGTTTAGCAGTATTTTGTATAGTAGTTAACCGATAAGACAATCGATAACCGCCTAATAATATAATCACACAGTTTTGGACTTTCGGCTAAGAGAAAAAGTTTCATGATTCAAAACCAACCAAAGTTGCAATTCCAAACACCTCAATTCCAACATATTGCAAACAAACCTCCACCAAGTGTCTCAAATGTGTTTAACAGTCCGAACTCGAAAGTCATCCCTCTCTAACTCCCTTTGCAATCGACAGAGCGGACCTCACACCCTAATGATATTTTTTTCTTTGATGTTATTGAATGATGATGATCTTGCGGTGTTTGTTTTTTTATGTCTTGTTAGTTGGTACTAGCTAATTGGATGAATAAGTTTGATTAATTTTATTATATGAAGTGAAATTTGAATCGAAATCACGATGAATTATCATTTTATGTTAACAATATAAAAATATAGTTAAATTACTTTGAATTATTTATATGAATATTTGTCTTTAATATTTAGTACTCTTATTTATAATTATATTTGTAGATTAAAAATAATATAAAATGACACTTTTAAACTTAATTGGATGATGATTTGTTATTACAAGTGATTATTGATCGGTTTATTATATTTCGTGAAAGAAATTGAAGCTATTGGTTCGATTAGGTATGACCGTAGTTGTTGGAATGTATGTTAGTGTGATGAACACATTTTAATAATATATTTATGGATTAATTGAATATTAAATTGTGGTGTAGAGCAATGTAGTCAAAAGCGAGTTTCTACGTAGAAACGTTTTGATGATCTAGAAGCGTAAAATTGTAAGTTTTTAAGTTTTAAAGCGGAGTTTTTAACTACATAAGTTATCAAAACTGAGATTTTGTGTAGAAGCGTTTTAATGACCTAGAAACGTAAAATCGTAAGTTTCTAAGTTTTAAAGCGCGATTTTGACTACATTGGTGTAGAGGATTATTGCTAAGCTTAATACGAATATCAATTATCCTAATTTAGAGCGGAGGTGTTCACACCAATATGGACGCACCAATCTTACGGTTAAAATGTGGGATGAGCTTTTTAATTAATGACAGAGGTAGTTTGGGTATTATGGAAAGTTATGAAGTATACAAATCAGACTTACAAACAGTACAAGCCATACAAACATACGAACAATACAAACTAGACCGACAACACATACAAACAGATTTACAAACAATACGAAACATATGAACTATACAAATCATACAAGCTAGACCGACAAACATTACAAAACATACTAACAATACAAAATGCCACTACTTACAATACAAAAAAATAAACTTATATTACAAATCAATGAATACAAAGTATACAAATCACAACATAAATTATACAAACATTACAAATTACAATGTATAAACATTATAAACATAATAGATAAAAATGACAAACTAGAATGATAAACGATAGAAACCGAATTGATACAAAATCACAAAACATACTTATAAACATTAAAAAAAATCGTCCGACCAACATAACAAACCAGACGTTGTCGCCGGAAAACCCTCGTCGCCGCCGTCGGGAAATTCGTCGATGACGAAAAATCATCTCGCTCTTCTTGTACTTGGGGAAAAATTTCCAGTGATTGGGGGGGGGGGGGGGCGAGAGAATTCCCAGTGACAGTCGGCAGGAATTATTCCTAGGCACCGGCGGGAGGGAAATGGCCGGCCAACTTATTTTTTAATTTTTATTTATTGTTTTAATTAATAAATTAAATAACCTTGTCCAATATAATAAAGTTTAATTAAAATATAACCTATATGACATTTCAAAGTTGAGATTAAGCAGGATAATATCGTGCATACTTAACTTAACTCACCTTTGTTATTTTAATGCATGTGTTATTTTTTAATATTCGAACTTTTTTTTTTATAATCGTGAGTAGCATTAAACCAAAGAAAAAGGGTTCAACAAACTGATCCGGCGGGAGCAGCGGCAGAGGTTCACAAGGATTGAACCTCCCCAGCCCAGCAGAACGCAACAACAGTCAAGAAAAAACGAAGAACAAAATGGAGAAAAGGAACAGCATGCCAAGAGGAACAACCACTCATCTAAGTGGACCGAGCCACTTTCTGATGAGGTCACTAGCGCTGACTCAAACAACACATGGCTGGCTAACTGGCTGACTCAAACAACACTAGCCACTTTTGCTGTGTTCTCTTTTTTTCTCTTTAATATCCGAACTTGTAACAAATTATTATATCATTTCTTGTTTTAAGATGACGGTCCTTAATGAAAATTAAGATAAAATCTTGTTATTACCATGATCATCGATTCAAAGAATAATGATGTCACGGTTATCCTTGTAAACGATAATTTAGTGGAAGAAAGGACAGTGATGAATAACCAGTTTAAGGGAGGAAAGAGAACTCATCCAATCACCATCACAAAACTAAGGATCAAAATCACAAAAATGGAGCCACACTTTTTTTATTTATATTGATCTGTAACAATAATACACTACTTGATTGCAGCAGCCACTATATAGAGAAATACCAAAAGGTGAAGAAACAAAAGAATTAATAGTGAATTATATGTGTAAAGGGCTCCAAGTACGTAGCTACCCATGAAGATAAACTAAATGGTTCGCATCTTAAAAAAAAAAAAAAGATAAATTAAATAATTAAGATACAAACTTTATATAAAAAAAGGGTAAATGACACATTTGGTCACTGAGATTACTAAATTGTGTCATGTATAGTCACTAGAAAAAATTAATATCAATTTTGGTCACTCAAATTACCGAAACTGGTCAAATTTAGTCACTCTCCCGTCAGTTTCTGTCCAACTCCATTAATGTAGTTCGGCGGAAACTTTTGGGAGAGTGACTAAATGTGACATGTTTCAGTAATCCGAGTGACTAAATGTGACATTTTTCAATAATTCGAGTGACCGGAGTTGGACAGAGGCTATAGAAGAGTGACCAAATGTGACCTGTGTCAGTAATTCGAGTGACCAAAATTGATATTACATTTTTCTAGTGACCAAATATGACATGATTTAGTAATCTCAGTGACCAAATGTGTCATTTACCCTATAAAAAAAGGTATACTATAACGAATAAATTTTAATTAAGTCAAGACGATCAGTGTCCCACTCCTGGGCTGGGACCATCATTGGCAGCATAGGTGAAGCTGTTTCCGACGCCTGGGCTGGGCCCCGATTGCTTCACCGCTCCAAGGGCCAATCCCTCCCAGAAGGCCGCATCGGCCCACCAGCTCCCGCCACTCTGCGCATCGGGCCGCTTCAATATATTAAACGGCCGCGACTCCACTCCGCAGCCAAGCACCTGAATCATAACCGCAACGGCGATCATCAGAACAGTCAGAATCCGGACAAATCCTGCTCTTGCCATTGATCGGGTTAATAATTTGGAATCTAGGAAGGGAATTTGGGAATCTATGTTGTTTTCTGTGTATGTTTATGGGAAGGCGAGGAATTAATATTGCACGTCAAGTGTTTGTGGAAATGCCTCTGTGGTTCGAAGTGAATATATATAGTTCGAAAGCAGGCAAAGCTGACTCTGAATGTTGAAACGGAAATTTGTGCTTGTTTCCAAGGGGGAAAGGAAGCAGCGGCGATGGTTCGGATCGGTCCATCCATAAGACTTGGGGGAGCAATGCAATTTAGTCAGTTGTCTGGTCCAACATGATAACTCACTCCGCCATTGGATTTGGGGGAAGAAGAAGACTAAATAATACCCGGATTTTCTAAAGCCATCTCAACGAGCTAGCCCAAATTCAAATTTTGGATGGGAACTTGGACTTGTGAGATTAATTATTCCTCAAGTTGGAATTTGACTTAAGTGGCATATGACAATAATGCCAGGGAGAGGCAAAGGGCGTCTGAGTCATTTATTTCACGTTTACATGCCACCCTAGTCAATTTAGGGTTGTAGAGATGCACGAGTGCATGTGCATGGATCATTTTGTCCATCTTTATTTATATGCATGATTATACTGCAATTAGCCTGCGACACAAACCCTAGTTGATTTATTGTGAAGGGTGTGCGCCTATGGAAGGGGCTCAAGATAGGGTGCATAACCCATGGTTATGCACCCATCAATAACCAAATCTGGACCCTTCATTTAGAAAATCCAGATCTAAGGATGGAGAATTAAAGGCTATTTTTATTTTCACTAGTTTTCTTAATTGACTCATATCTTTTTCCTTTTAACTCGCATTTTAATTTTTTTTGCACAGATGGAACGAGTTCATCGTGCTCTACAAAATGAGATCAATTTTCAATATTTTTTGAGGAAAAAAAAATTCTGGCCTCTCGGTACCAACTGCATACCATATGGTATTTTCTTCGTTTTTCAATCGTTTTTGAAAACGTTTGCACAGCAGGGACGAGTTCATCATGATCTATTGGATCTACAAATTTCTGGGTGAACAAATTACGAGACCAAAAAATACCACACAATACCATACAATACCACCCTGGTACGGGGTGGTATTTTATGGTATTTTATGGTATACAATGTTAAAAGTCGTAAATGACAATCAATATACTTCTACTATCATGTATTCAATCATCCTACAGTCTTGGTTTGTTCATACCACCATGGTACGCTTTTGAACCCATAGGTATGCTCTTATTTCAATACCAGTCAATACCATATGGTATAGACTGGTAAAAAATGGTTCAATTTTTTTTTGTTCGAAAAATATATAAAAGTGGATATCATTTTGAAGAGCACAATTAATCTGATCTAACTGTGCAAAAAAAATTAAATTTCGACTTAAAACGAGTGAGAAATCGTCCGTCAAAGATTAAGGAGGGGAAAATTAAAGGCTTTCCAGGAGAGAGAGGATGCTGATGTCATGCTGATGTGGGCGGGTTACTCATAGTTACTCACCATAAAGTTACTGACCTGATCCATTCCCTATGGAAGGCATTGTGCAGGGCTTGTAACCGTAAGAAAAATAGACTGAATAGTAATAAAACACAAAAACAAAAAAATAATAATAAAAAAAAATCATAGCAGTAATTTCCAACCCATGAATTTTCTCTGGTTGCATTATGAGCATGATAGAAAGAACGATGTCAAGCAGGCTACATCAACCAAACCTCTTACGTTGTATGTCAATTTTGTCTATTGTTTATTTTTTACCTCAATCAGATCCGCAACACGCTGGGAGTTCTCTTGACATATACTAATTATGGAGAATGGGTGATTGATATGACGGATTCTCTCCTAACCAAAAATAAGCTAGGGTTGTCACTCGGATAGTCGCCCGCGTCCAACTGTTGCACGTGAGCTGCTGGATGCTTGGCTTTGTTGTGATTAGGGATGACAATGGGACGGTTATGGGGCGTATTTCTCTAATCCACCCACATCCTAATTTTCAAATACCCAAACTCATATCCAGAGTGTTATAAACGCGCTGCTACGGATCGGGAAATCGCTAGAATCGACAAAGCAAGAATACGAAAGCGAGAATCGAAAACACAGACACACGATTTACGTGGTTCACTAACACGATGTGTGTTAGCTACGTCCACGGGCAGAGTCACCCACTCAAGATATTCAGCAAGTCCAAGCAGTGTTGGAACTTGCCATGTGTAACCGGCTTCGTGAACATATCAGCAGGATTATCTCGCTCTTGTTGTACTTGGGGAAAATTTTCCAGTGAATGGGGGGGGGGGGGGCGAGAGAATTCCCAGTGACAGTCGGCAGGAATTATTCCTAGGCACCGGCGGGAGGGAAATGGCCAGCCAACTTATTTTTTAATTTTTATTTATTGTTTTAGTTAATCAATTAAATAATTATGCAATTGCTACACCCTTGTCCAATATAATAAAGTTTAATTAAAATATAACCTATATGACATTTCAAAGTTGAGATTAAGCAGGATAATATCGTGCATACTTAACTTAACTCACCTTTGTTATTTTAATGCATCTGTTATTTTTTAATATCCGAACTTTTTTTTTATAATCGTGAGTAGTATTAAACCAAAGAAAAAGGATTCAACAAACTGATCCGGCGGGAGCAGCGGCAGAGGTTCACAAGGATTGAACCTCCCCAGCCCAGCAGAACGCAACAACAGTCAAGAAAAAACGAAGAACAAAATGGAGAAAAGGGACAGCATGCCAAGAGGAACAACCAGTTTAAGGGAGGAAAGGGAACTCATCCAATCACCATCACAAAACTAAGGATCAAAATCACAAAAATGGAGCCACACTTTTTTTTATTTATATTGATCTGTAACAATAATACACTACTTGATTGCAGCAGCCACTATATAGAGAAATACCAAAAGGTGAAGAAACAAAAGAATTAATAGTGTGAATTATATGTGTAAAGGGCTCCAAGTAGCTACCCATGAAGATAAACTAAATGGTTCGCATCTTACAAAAAAAAAAAGATAAATTAAATAATTAAGAAACAAACTTTATATAAAAAAAGGTATACTATAACGAATAAATTTTAATTAAGTCAAGACGATCAGTGTCCCACTCCTGGGCTGGGACCATCATTGGCAGCATCGGTGAAGCTGTTCCCGACGCCTGGGCTGGGCCCCGATTGCTTCACCGCTCCAAGGGCCAATCCCTCCCAGAAGGCCGCATCGGCCCACCAGCTCCCGCCACTCTGCGCATCGGGCCGCTTCAATATATTCAACGGCCGAGACTCAACTCCGCAGCCAAGCACCTGAATCATAACCGCGACGGCGATCAGAACGGTCAGAATCCGGACAAATCCTGCTCTTGCCATTGATCGGGTTAATAATTTGGAATCTAGGAAGGGAATTGGGAATCTATGTTGTTTTCTGTGTATGTTTATGGGAAGGCGAGGAATTAATATTATATTGCACGTCAAGTGTTTGTGGAAATGCCTCTGTGGTTCGAGGTGTATATATATATAGTGCGAAAGCAGGCAAAGCTGACTCTGAATGTTGAAACGGAAATTTGTGCTTGTTTCCAAGGGGGAAAGGAAGCAGCGGCGATGGTTCGGATCGGTCCATCCATAAGACTTGGGGGAGCAATGCAATTTAGTCAGTTGTCTGGTCCAACATGATAACTCACTCCGCCATTGGATTTGGGGGAAGAAGAAGACTAAATAATACCCGGATTTTCTAAAGCCATCTCAACGAGCTAGCCCAAATTCAAATTTTGGATGGGAACTTGGACTTGTGAGATTAATTATTCCTCAAGTTGGAATTTGACTCAGCGGCATATGAAAATCATGCCAGGGAGAGGCAAAGGGCGTCTGACTCATTTATTTCACGTTTACATGCCACCCTAGTCAATTTAGGGTTGTAGAGATGCACGAGTGCATGTGCATGGATCATTTTGTCCATCTTTATTTATACTAGATTTGAACCCGGCCCGTTGGCCGGATGCATTTTGTAAATGGTTTAACAACAATTGTACTGTTGGAAGCAAGATACATTTGGTATTAAAAAATAATCAAAAAATTATTCAATTATTAGAAACATAAGAAAAGAATATATATAGAAGAAAGTATAAAAATATTCATGCAAAAATTTAATGATAAAATATTTCTAAATATGAAATATCATTTCCACGCAAGTAAAATTTAAGTCGTCCAAGTTTTGACCATTGTCCCATATTTGCTCATTCCTCTTATCTTCAAAATTGTGTACTCTCTTATGGTTTACCTTATTTTAACAAATGAGTTTGATGTTGAATTAAGTTCAAATTCTTTATTTTACTTTTTTTAACCGATTTGTATCTTCTTTGTTTTTAACTGGGATTGTACGTTTTTTTACACATATAAGACGGGTTCATTGTGACCTCCAAAATTATATTTTTAAGATATATTTTTAGACTTTTTCACAGCATTCATCACCACCTTCATTTTAATTCAAATCTTGAAAAAGTTTTCACAGATGGAACGGGTTCATCATGATCTATTGTGATCTACAAAATTATGAAAAAAAACTTTATAGGACCAAATATATAGTTATATACCACCCTTTATAAGGTGGTAAGTGATGGAAGATGATAGTGAAAGGTGATAAATGTTTATTAATATATTTCTAGTATCACATATACAACAATTATACACTAAAATCTATTTATACCACCATCATACACTTCCATATCACACAATGATATAATTTTATGTACTTATAAGTATTACTGCCATGGTGTAGAAAATATTTTTTGTCCAAAATATATAAAAGTGAATATCATTTTGAAGAGAACAATTAATCTAAATTTCAAATGAAAAATTATTTTTAATTTAAAATGAAACCACTATTCCATTAAATTTAATAGGAGAAAGATGCATGCCAAGCAGAAAGAAGCAATTTTCAATTCGGTCACTAAAACCCCTAAAAATCAAGTGATAATTAAAAAGAATTTGATATTGAATAAAATACTTACCCTTTATAACAAAAAATAGTTAATCATAAATTGTCTAGTCTATAAACCGTTGACTAATTAAAAAGAATTTGATTTAGAATAAAACACTTAACCTTTATAATAAAACAAAAAAAGCTAATAGTCTCGTGTATAATTAAAAAAATATATGAATTTGATTTAGAATAAAACACTTAACCTTTATAATAAAACAAAAAAGCTAATAGTCTCGTGTATAATTAAAAAATATATGAATTTGTCAGCCGATTATTAGGGTAGAGTTTAAATTTGTATCCTCGACAAATAATCTAATTTTTTTGTTTTTAATTAAAATTACAATACTATCCTTCCTAGAATCACTCAGAAAGCTAGAAATTCTGAATGGAGAGTGTTCTGGTTGAGAACCTCCATATATAAGTGGGAGGATGCATGATTATACTGCAATTAGCCTACGACACAAACCCTGGTTGATTTATTGTGAAGGGTGTGTGCCTATGGAAGGCATTGTGCAGGGCCTGTAGCCGGGGTAATTAGCATAAAAGGTCACAAACGTATACACCTAGTACAAAACAGTCACAATTCTTTGATTTGTAAAAAATTGATAACAAACGTTTGAGCGAATATCAAAATAGCAACTCCGTCACTCTCCGTCAAAATTTCCGTCTCCCTTGCTTAATCAGCATTCCACCTCATCAAAATTATTAATTCAAAATTTAAAATATTTACCCTGGCCCAAACCACTCAAGGTAAGACCGGGCAAATCCACTCGCTTCCCCTAGCCCTGTCTGCTTCAACTCGACATCGCTCCCGCCCGTTTCCTCAGTCCACAATCACCTGTCGCCGCCTGGTCGCCATTCAACTGTCTTCGTCCAGCATCCCCACCGAGAGAAGATGTACATCGATGCAAATTGAGAGCCGCTGCCACTAGTTTCTTCTGTTCTTCACCGCCGCGCTTATGCCCCTGCTCGACGAGAGTGATAGAGAGAGAGAGAGAGGCAAAGGTCAAGGTAACAGACAAGGAGGGAAAGAGAGAGAGAGAAGGAAGGTGGAGTTGTAGAGGTATTCAGGGGAATTGAATTGGTTGGGATCATTGTTTTCCCCTTCCCCCTCGGTTGGGATTATAGCTTTCTTCACCCCATTATTTTCCCCTTACCCCTCCTGATCTGGGATTGAATTGGTTGGGATTGTTGTCAATAAGGAAGGTGGAGTTGGAGAGGGATTCAGGGGAAACATAAATTAGGTTTCTTATTCATCCACTGGTAGAGGAGGGTTGGAAGAAAGCTTTGGGTTGACTCAATTTAGCCCTCCCCATGTTGGCTGGAATGGGCAATGAAGAAGATGATGCAATAGAACTGTTGTTTCATCGATGAAGCGGCGGGATGAATGCCGCCGGCGAGGGGGTTTGATTGGTGAAATTGGGGTTGACCGGTTTTTGACCAATTTTTAACCGGTATGAGTACTGGTTGGTTTTAGATATTAAATTGGAGTTGTTTATTATTTGTTTTGATGAGGTGGAATGCTAACTAGGGAAATTTAACAGAAATTTGGATGGAGATTAACAGAAGTGACCATTTCGTACAAGTTTAAACTTTTGTGACCGTGTTGTTACAAATGAAAGATTTGTGACCGTTTTGTACTAAGTGGAAAGATTTATGACCGTTTATGATAAGTACCCCTATAGCCGTAACAAAAATAGTATGAATAGTAATAAAACACAAAAAAAAAATCATAGCAGTAATTTCCAACCCATGAATTTTCTCTGCGTTATCGACGTTCTGCCGCTACCCTGGTTGCATTATGAGCATGATAGAAAGAACGATGTAAAGCAGGCTACATCAACCAAACCTCTTACATTATATGTCAATTCCGTCTATTGTTTTTTTTACCTCAATCAGATCCGCAACACGCTGGGAGTTCTCGTGACATATATTAATTATGGAGAATGGGTGATTGATATGACGGATTCTCTCCTAACCAAAAATAAGCTAGGGTTTGTCACTGGGATAGTCGCCCGCCCAATTGTTGCACGTGAGCTGCTGGATGCTTGGCTTTGTTGTGATTAGGGATGGCAATGGGGCGGATATCTGTAAACCACCCACATTCTAATTTTCAAATACCCAAACCCATATCCAGAGGAAGGTTTTGCAACCCCGCCCCCATATCCATGGTTTTCGAGTCCCCATGAGTAATAATATCCTCTTTTGTACATACCTAAAATTCAACATGTAGATACTCAATTATAAGACTAACACACCTATTAAACCATGACATCTATAAAGATACAACTTTTCTTAATACGATTTCAAAGCATATAATCCTAAGACATCTTATAGACAAAAGTACAATATTAATACTATCAGAATCATTCATCTCTGACTCCCACACATCTATTCGAATAATTTAACATTGTTATACCTAATCTAATCTTGTTGACAAAGAGAAAAGAGGTGAAAAGGTGAAGGATGAATTGAGAGAAAGAAATTAGGATTGGGTTTAGATGCCCACTAACTTACATTCCAGTTCTTTATTTTGTAAAATTATTTTTCTTTCATTGGCAGGTTACAATTTGCTATGTTTATTTTTTATATATAAGGGTACAAATTACTATCACCGTTGTTTCCAACCTCATCACATTTTCGACAATACGACCGGGTGGCAGCTAGTGAAAAACTTGACGAGTGGCGGGAGCGTGATGGAGGTGGCGGACGTTGCAATGACCACCCACAACCACTGGGTCCTGCTTCATGAGTTGAAGGTGGTGCAGGTAAACAAGGCAGAGCTTAAGGTGGTGGTCCCCAACATGAATGCAATTTATCATTATTGTTCATTATTTATTTTCCTAATGTAAGTAGAAGGTAATTGTGTCATGGTTGACTATACGCCGAAAGCGATATAGCGTTTTCTGGAAGCGATAGACCATTTTCTGGAATTGGTAGATCGTTTGACAAAATAGTGTACCGATTCCAACAAGGGCTCTAGTTTGAAAGTAAGTGTATCATCGGGCCGACCGCTTGCGTGAAGCGGTGGACCACTTGATGGAAGTAGTAGACCATTTTCTTGAAAAGTGGTTGACCGCTTTGTGAAAGAGGTAGACTGTTTTCTTGGAAAGTGGTCGACCTCTTGTGGAATAGATATATCATGTTTTCCAAGTCACGATGACTTGCAAGTTACCATAGCATACCATATATGTTATAGATTATCACACATTTTTGCATTTCTTTTTGGTTTGTCTGTGTTTTTTTAAATCGCATTTATTTTTTTTATTCAATGGTTAGTACTTTATATTTATTATGTAAAAAAATTCATAAATAATTATGCAATCTTAATTTCTTA